CTCATAGCTCAGTATGCTAATCAACCGGCACATGGAGGCACCATTCATGATCGTAGAACCATCAACCGTGATCGACAAATAGCAGATGTAAATCTCTTCAACGACTACTTCGTCGAGAACCCACGTTTCGACGAACATATGTTTCGTCGATGATTTCGAATGTCTTGAGGTTTATTTGGTCGAATACTAACAGTGGTGGAAGGTCATGTCAACTATTTCGTACAAAAACGAGATGGGATAGGTAAAATCGGATTATCTTGTCATCAGAAGGTAACGGTAGTGTTTCGGATGTTGGCATACGGCGTGTCAACAGATGCTACTGATGAGTACATCAGAATAGGAGAATCTACGACTATTGAAAGTTTGAAGAGATGTTGTCGTGCTGTTGTCGAAATCACCAGTATCTAAGATCACCTACCATGAACGACGTTGAGAGACTACTCCATGTTAATAAACACGTGGTTTTCCCGGGATGTTAGGCAGTCTAGATTGTATACATTGGAGATGGAAAAATTGTCCAACCGCATGGGCAGGACAATATACAAGTCGTAGTGGATTCCCAACTATTATCTTCCAAGCTGTAGCTGATTATGATCTTTGGATATGGCATGCATATTTTAGACTTCTAGGTTCGAACAATGATATCAACGTTTTGGGGAGATCTCATCTTTTTGCAAACCTCGCTCAAAGTATTGCTCCGCCGACTGAATACGTCATTCAAGAAAAACAGTATAACATGGGTTATTATCTAGTTGATAGTATATACCCAAAATGGTCTACCATTGTGCAAACAATTCATGAGCCACGCGGTCCCAAAAAAAATTATTTGGAACAAGAAGCGTGTAGAAAAGATGTTGAACGTGCATTTGGCGTTCTACAGCAAAGTTTGCAATAATGAAAGGACCAGCAAGGTTTTGGGAAAAAAAACATGTATTACATGATATCATGACTGCTTGTATAATCATGCATAACATGATTATCGAGGATGAACGTAATGTTGATGCACCAGTTCGAGAATGGATGAAAGCGCCAAGTATGAAAGTTGAGTTTGTTGAAGACGAAAATCATCGTTTTCAAGAATTCCTTGCTCGTCCTAGTCAAATCAAGGATAAAGAGGCTCACATTGCACTTCAAAATGCATTAATCGATCATTTGTGAGAAGAACATACGAATTCCGAGAATTAAATTGCAATGATATTTCGACTTCATAATATCATAATATTCAAATTCGAAATGCAGTGCACTATTTTTTAATGGCATGATTTAATATTTTTCAT